GCCCGAGCCCCGAACGGGGAAAGGGCCTATTGTTTTTGATCAAGAGATGTCAAATTCTGCACTTTGAGCCTTAATTTCACCCCCTGAACATGCATGAAAAGTTGTAAAATTTTGCCCAAACATCAAACTTGGTGAAAAATTTGATATTTTGGTGTTTATTTTGATGGGACTCAAAAAATGCCAGAACAGCGCCACCTACAACAGCCAACGGGAGTTTCAGAGGTCAAATTTGTCGTAGAGCCATGAAATTCGGTACACATGTTCCTCAAGTCAAGATAAGACCAAAATGTTATCATGGCTCCGCCCTCTGACAAACAGGAGGCCCATAAATTTCACTGCAAAATGGAAAAATGATCCGCAATAATTTTCATACATGTCGGTTGGAAATCTTCTCCTCCTCGGCCGTTTCACCGATTTGCCTCAAAATCACTCCACATCATCTCAACACATGTACCTTCAAAATGACCAAAGGGATTTTTGATCAATGAAACGTTGTTTGAGCAGCGGAGCGGCAAAATATGAGTGTTTTTTGGCCGTTTTTGACAACATTAATTTTGCTCCCCTTTGCACAAACAAAGGCCCCGTCCCAATACTCGCACTTCCACCCTCGCGCCCCTCATTTGCGCGTTCCCGATAAAGGGTGCGAGTGCGTAGGATATCCCAATTCTCCAGGGAGGTCTTTGGCCCCGCCCCTTTTGCGCCCCTGATCCACACTTTGCCGTAGCCTGCATCTATGCGCACTCTAGCGAAGGATATTGCCCATAATTCTTTGCGGTACACACCAAAACGTCAGGAAAATGCATTTAAATATAAATTTTGAAATATATATTTAGTATGTGTGTAAATAAGTTTTGCTATGTTACTTGGAAAGAAGCATAAACGTCTGATGAAAAATTACGGACAATGTGTTTTAACAATTTAATAACTTTTTAAAGCAAGCGTTCAAATAACATTCAATTTAAACTTTACACTTAGTACAATAATCTTAGAATGTATAAAAACTGACCAGATAGTTAGTTACCCACACTTAACCTAAAATTATACAGCTATCCCTAATTAAAAACTAATATACATGTATTTTAACGTGTGTGAAGCAATTCATTTTGTTTCCCAAAGGGTCAGACAAAATTACCTTTAATGTTTATAAAGTTTAGGTCTGAAAATGACCATCTTTTGTGCACACTTGCAACCTGCGCAATAAAACCCTGGTGTGCACTTCAAACAAATGCACACTTCATAGGAGGGCGTAGGGTGCAGTGTGGGTATTGGGACTGGGCCATCGTCTGATGACGAAAAAAACTTGAATCCAATGTTCAACTCCAGGGTTTAGGTCAGGTGAAAGTGAAATATTTGAAATTGGCCCATTAGCGCCCCCTACAGATTGAGGCAAAGTTTTACATGGGGTGCCATCCATCCATCCATCCATTTTCTACCCTTTAGTCCATTTCTGGGTCAGGGGGGTGGCAATCAGAGATGCCACCCAAGTCTCATAGCACCAGCCCCTCACTGACCCTCTGCAGGTGGTGAGTCCACAGGAGGGCGGCTGCTCTCTGAGTGTGAGCACAGCCTTGATCTTTCAGTGGGGGCTTTGGGCAAAGTGGGGTTAAGTGTCTTGCCCAAGGACACAACGACAGCAGTCATCAGTGGGAGTCGATGGAGAAGGTGTAGAGGTGGGAATTGAACCCACGACCTTCAGGCCTGAAGGCCAATGCTCTACCAACTGAGCTACTGTCGCCCTTACATGGGGTGCCAAACAGCTCTAATCATCATATTCATTACAATTTGACTAACGTTCTTCTAGCTACAGCAACAAATCATCACACGGCGGCCCCACCTCCTTTGCGCGGTGCTGCGTGGTGCAGCGTAGTGCGGGGCGGCGTGGTGCGGGGCGGCTTAATGCGGGACGGCTTGGTACGGGGCGGCTTGGTGTGGAGCGGCTTGATGCGGGGCGGCTTGGTGCGAAGCAGCTTGATGCGGGGCGGCTCGGTGGACAAACATCGTACAACTCCGTTGAGTACTACTGTGTTCTCCACATACGCGTGTGTATTTATTTGGGCTAAATCATTGAATCATGGTGACAACAAAACACTGCAGTTATGGTGCTTGTCGGAGCGATTTCAGATACTCTGAAAAGGACTATGAAAGTAACATTCAACCCGTTTGTTAAACCACACCATCGGACCAGACCAGGACCAGATCAGACCAGGAAGAGACCAGGACAAGTGCAAGAGGTGGGTTCGTGCTTGTGGTCGGTAGCAGGGCTGGACTGGGACAAAAAAACGGCCCGGGCATTTTTGCCTTCTTGGCGGCCCAGGCATGTTTTTTCACATTTTATACAAGTTTGTTTATACCAGGGGTTGGCAACTCAAAAGGTTCAAAGAGCCATATTTGACAAAAAAACAAAAAACATGTAAAACAACTTGTAAAAGGCTTATATGAAGGTAACACAGGCTGCGGCTGTATTAGCTATATTAGCTACAAATACACAATATAAGCATTCATGATTCATGATGTGTCCTGGAGAGAATGACGCACCATGTGACGACTCTGCTTTAACTTTAACTTCAATTTTTTTGCCTTCATGCAATTGTACAAATAGAGTAAATAAATCTGCATTTTGGCTCCGAGTTCACCTGCATCACAGCCTGTTCATATCGATCACAAGCTGAAGTTTGCTGGAGCTGAATGTCCTTAATGGCCTTTTATTTTACCGTCTTTGCGAAGGTATTTGAAGTCTGAAAATAGGTGCTTTGAATTTGCGATGAATGAATCCTTCAGTGAACAGTGTTTAAAGCTTCATTGTTCCTCGTGTTGCAACAAAACTTCTCGTTACAAACATGAGGCAGTCCTTCCTCATTGACTGAAAGCAAAAGTTCATTCTGATTCTTAGTCCAGTCTTATCGACTCCTTCTCTCTTTATCTTTGGGATCCGTGCGCACACACAGTCTATGATGCACACACGTTTGTTTAAAACAGCCGACGCCTGGCACGGGGCCTCGTCACCGGATATGACGCACTACGTAGACAGAAATTTTGAAATTGAATAATACTTATGCACAGCATTTAAAAACATCAAGAATGTTTTTCCTCCTACAGAAACCACATTCAAACTAGAAATAAAATATAGCCCTCCCACTCCATTTTCAGACATTTTTTAAAAGGCTCTAGGAGCCACTGGAGGAGCTACAAAGAGCCGCAGGTTGACGACCCCTGGTTTATACAGTATGTGGAAGCAAATACTGTAGAGGATCAGGATGTCTCTAGTTTCAACAATAAAATAAAACTCAATAGTCTACATTACAAGAGAGTAATAAACATGTCTCAGAGTGAGGGAGGTGGACACAGACATGAGAATTGGTCAAAAAAAGTCTGAAATGCATAATGTCAGCCGTTAGCTGTCACTAAATCTGTTTGATTTGTTCACAACATTTTACTTTTGGGCTCAAACATGAACTTTTGATGCAATGGAAAATTTAGGTACCCAAGCTTTAATTTAGTCGCGCTTCAAGAGGAGAGGGGAGACGCGGACTATTTACTGCAGCGGTGTATTTATTGGGTCCACAGACTACGCTAAGACACGCATGGTCCTGTGCGCGTTTATGGTCTTGGGTATATGGTCACGTTGCTGCTACGCGCTCACCGTGTTGTGTTATGAGCGGTTCCCGCGTCCCGCTCAGAGCCGCTGGATGCGGGAACCGCTCATTACAAAGCGTCCGCAGCAGCCCGGGAACACTGCGGCCGCTGAGGTGGTGGAATCTCGTTCGAGTACATACAGCAGGTGCCCCGCGGACACGCGCGCTCCCCTCGAACAATTCTCAACGGATTTACACTTTTCACAAACATGTTTTTGTATGAGGCAGACAGGCCGGCCCAAATGTGGGCATCGGCCCTTCGGGCATTGCCCGGTACGCCCGATGGCCAGTCCAGCCCTGGTCGGTAGAATTTCTCTCATGAAAATGTTAAAAAGGACTCATATTTGTTCAAAAACTTAGTCTGTGAAGCTGGACCAACTGTAATAAAAGTTTTGTGTGAATCTTTTGTGTCTGTTTAAATACATTACTTATGTTCTTTTTCATCTTGTCATAAAGAGGAGTAGTTGTAAAAGTACCTTGCATTACAGAATAAATGAGTAGATAGAAGATAATTTGTACTTCTTTGCCCCGTCCTTTACAGCACAGATAGAAATGGTAGTCACATCAAACTTATTGACATTGTAGAATTCTCCTAACCTGGCAAGAGCCAGATTGATGATTGTGTATAACTCTAACGCGTTCTCCACGATATCAATCTGGGATTTCTCCCGGAGAATCCTTTCGGGGAAAGGAGGGATAAGCAGCAGAATACTTCAAGCTGATTGGGCGAAGTGACGCTGTGTGCCCGCCTACCAAGGTTGCCGTCCAGAAATGCACAAAGCGCCTCTCGCTGTTCATCTTTCAAAAAAGAAATTGGAGATTCTGCTAAAACTGACTTGATAGCCTCAGCTACGCGTCCGTCCTCCTGCATAGCCATGTTTGTTTTGCTTCGGCCAGGCACTTCTTGCTTTCGTCAAACCCGGATATCCCGCCCTAAACCCCCAGACTGGCGCGTGATTGGCTCGCACACCCAGTGGTTTGACTCGAAAAGTGTAAGCGGGAGTGGTACAAGATGTATTCTCGAGTGTTTGTGAACTCACAAATACCGCGAGAATTCAGCTTGCAGGCAAGGTTAGAATTCTCCACAGCTGAGGGTGAGGCCAGAGACTACAACGCACGTGCATCTGATCATCGCCACTGCCAGGAGATTTGCCCATGCTAGAGTAAGCCCCCCAGTCCTCAAGGCTGGAGTGAGCGAGCAATAAAGCCAAAGGCTAGGCCCGTAGATCGACCAACAGACCCGAGAAAAGCTGCCCGTAAGTGGAGTGCAACATAGGAAGAATAGGGACCGTATACCATCCCTATTAGGAAGTCAGGGGACTTCCATGGCCATGGAACTTTGAAAGAGAGGTTTCAGTCGTCCTGCCAATGCCTAGGTTGAACAAGGAATTAAACTTTCAAGGTCTGGTGCCATCACCACCACCGTCCCCTGAATCTCTGAGCCCATCACCCTGGTGTGCTCCAATAGAAAATGATGTGTTCCTCTCCGATGCGGCTGTGGCCCTACCCGAACCCGAGGCTATGGTTGTGACGGCACCCGAGGCCATTGTCCTACCTGGACCCGAGGAACCAAGACCTGTGCGAGTCACTGATTATGATTACATATCCATATACTGTATGGTTCTGACGACTTTGTCAGGGAGTTCAACAAGCTCCTGGAAGAAGAGTACCAACCAGGAGCTGTGCCGGAGCCTGAAGCTTGCCACGAGAACAAAGCTCCTCAAGGATTTGAGGTGATGGACTTTACTTAGTTTTCTTACGTTTCAAAAGGAGGATGTAATGCAAAAAAACATTTTATAATTATATATGAAACATAAGAAACATGCATTAAACAATGATTCTGACTGTCAGTCATGTAATTTAACAACATTTGATGTGATTTATGTGACATTATGCTAACTGGGTTAAAGGTCATGCTTACTGTGCCAAAGGTAATTTAACTGGGTCAAGGTTCATACAATGGAAGGGCCAAATATGTACTTCCTTCCTGTGACCAAATATGTACTTCCTTCCTGTGACCATATACTGTATGTACTTCCTTGCTCCTATGACCAAATAATGGCTTCCTTCCCGGCCCATATATGTACATGTACTTCCTGAATGAAGTCATCCTTATGCCTCTGGACTTTCCCTGCGTATGAACTTTTCCCGTGTGTGCACTTTTCCCGTGTGTGCACTTTCCCCGCCTATAAAAAGGGAGACTCAGAGGGAGACTGGGCTCAGCACTACCTGAGTGCTAACATAGTCTGAGAGCCATACAGTGAAGGAGAGTTTGCCAAACCTTTCTTACAGGCTGTAGACTGTGTCCTGAGAAACCACACGCTTTTACCAACATCAGCCTGTCCAGGTGCAGCAGGAAGGATTTCACAACTAGCTACAAATTGAAGTCCTGTGTGAAATTTTCTGTTGCCATTGGTAAGAGGCGGATGTTGCTGATGTCGCACATTCATTCACACAGAGGAGATGTTAGTGTTGGTGCTTTGTTGAATATCACAACATTTGAGGACACTATCAGCGCTGTTGTTGGTGCTGCTGGTGCTGTTGTTGGTGCTGGTGCTGTTTTTGGTGCTGGTGTTGGGGCTGTTGTTGGTGCTGGTGCTGGTGTTGGTGCTGTTGTTGGTGCTGGTGCTGTTGTTGGTGCTGGTGCTGTTGTTGGTGCTGGTGCTGTTGTTGGTGCCGGTGCTGTTGTTGGTGCTGGTGCATTGGACAGAGCTGTGTGGACTGGTCCTACGCTCTCAGCCTGGTACAGATGAAAAAGGCAGATAATTTTTGGACATTTGACTGTGTTTTACACAGAGACACTGCAGTTGTTGAGAATGGATCATTTCAACTGAATCATGGTCAGTTTGATGCTTTCTCTGACAATAGCATAACCATGGATTTCCTTCCCATTCTGAAGTAAGATGGTTAAGCTGAGATGCTGTGTTTAAGTGCTTTTTTCTATTTACCTACTGTACCTTTGTTAAACTACCTACTGTACCTTTGTTAAACTACCTAGAGTACCTTTGTTAAACTACCTAGAGTACCTTTGTTAAACTTCCTACTGTACTTTTGTACCTTTGTGAGCAAGTTTTCTCTGTAATGACCCCCAATAAAACAAAGCTGCACTCAAAGCTAACACACAAATATTAATATAAATATTGTGAAATTCCATTTACAATGTAATATTGTAAATACTTACATTATTTACACTATGAATAACTCACTGTTACATTTGAGTTAGCAACAGATTTCATGCTGCAAAAACCAAATAGTCTTCCTGAAAATGTGAGACAGGCTTCTTAGAATTGTTGCAAAACACATATTTATTCCTTTTGTTGCCTCAATAATACATTTTATTTAAAGTAAGGATAAGGACCATGATTGCCATGGTAACCGAAACTCCAGCATTCCAGAACCAAAGGAATGTAGCTGTCGTCACGGGAATATGACATAATGTTCTAAATGACGTCATCAAAGATTCAGTCTACAGTCTAAAGTCTACAGTGTGAATGTTTGAGCGTGGAGACAGTCCCAGACAAGAATTCATACGTTGGAGTAAAAAAGAGAGTACAAACCGAGGATTTAACCGCGATAAACAGAACTGAGCAAAATGTCGTGCTTCAGAAGAAGATCTAAAAAGGACAAGCTTATAGAAAAGCTTGAACACTACGTGATGGAGTTGGAGGAACGACACCTGATAGTGGTTGAGGATCTGAAGAGGGAGAAACAACAGAAGGGCGAGCTGGAGAAGACTCAACAGGACGAGAGTCGACTACAGCAGCAGCAAGTGAGTCAGCTTCAGTCTGCCTTAGAGGCGGCTCTACGGCAGGCTTCAGAGAGCTCCACTACTGCCCAACGCCAACAAGAGAATACTGTTCAGGAGAAAACAGTTCTCCAAGAGACTCTAAGTGAAAGGACAGGACAACTGCAGAAGGCTCAAGAGGAGATTCAGGCCTTGAAAGACGCAAATGCAGAAAAAGCCAAGCGGTATATGTCAATCGTCACTGAGCACCAAGATGAGAAACAGGAGATTTTTGACAGAAACCAGGAGGCAATGGACTTGTTGAACGCTCAAATACTGGATGCCAACAGCACCATAGACAAGCTAAAGACCCAGATGCAGGAGCAAGAGACAAAACTGGGGACAGAAGCTGCTCAGTTAAAGACAATGCTGGCCAAGACCAAGAAAGAGCTAGAGGAGTACAGTGCAAATGTCGTCATGAAAAACTCTGTCATTGCTGCAATGGAGGCCGAAAACGCCAAAGTCAAAGCTGAGAATACAAAGCTTCAGACTATCAGCAAACTGATTGAAAATGAGAAAGAGAAGGTCAAGGAGCAGCTAGCCAAGACCCAGAAAAAGTTGAAGGAGTATAGCGCAGATTTCCTCAGGAAGAACTCTATCATTGCTGCGATGGAGGCAGAAAACGCCAAAGTCAAAGCAGAGAACAGTGAGCTGAAGACAAGAATTCTCGATCTAGAAACTCAGCTGAAAAACTTACACGCTGCGTCAGAGAAAAGACCTCTCGTGGCACGGAATAAGTCCATGAAGGAGGTGGAAGAGGCTGTGAAGGAGGCCAGGAGGACCTCAGATCAGACAATCCAAGAGTTGCAGAAGAAGATTGAATTGAAAGACAAGGCAATCAGCAAACATAAAGAAAGCAAGCAGAAGGAGAAGGAGCAGCTGGCCAGAACCCAGAAAAGGTTGATAGAGTGTCGCAACAACTCCGACCAGAAAAGCTCTTTTATTGCCCAGATGGAGGCGTACATCGCAGAACTCAAAGCTGAGAATAGACAGTTGTTGGGGCAAAGTGATGTCTGCGATGAAGAGGAGTATGAGGATTATGATGAGTATGAAGACGACCACGAGACCACAGAAGAGTGGGAGGAAGAATATACAGAGACTGAAAACAATTAAGCAAAGCCATCTGTAAGAGATCCAGAGCTGAAGACCATCCTTGGAATCATCTGAAGAGGAAAGAAGAAAGTTAGAGAGTGGCAAGAGAGATGAGAACAAATATTGGGAGCTGACAGCACTGATTGAAGGAAAGAAGAAGCAAGAAAAGAGCATCAAAACAGGAGGAAAACCCATGTAGGCTTATAAGTGAACTGGACGAATCAGCCAAGAAGCACATTCAAGACCGCGAGTTATTACACCATCAAATCTAGGAGGCAAAGACAGATGAAGCTGTGAAGATAAAACACCTTGAGGCTAAAATTATGGAACTGCAGCTGAAAGATGTACACGCCTCTGAACAGGACAAAGACTTGCCCAGGTGTTAATAAGACACCAATAACCCAAAGAAAAATCCCCAAAAAGACAACATAGATTCAAGGTCACTTCCACTTCAACAAAGAGATTCAAAAGATCTCATTATCACAGGGAACAGCAACATTTGGCCGACCTTCGAAATCAAAAATTACTAAAACCAGTAGATTCAGTGCATTTGCCTGTCATGATGCTAACGCTAACAGCTAGCACATATTGGGCCTGGTCTCCTCGTGTGAGGCCTGGGCACTGCTTTGATGGGAGACCTGATATTCCCACCAGGTGCTAGAGTGGGACGGCTGTAAACTCGTTGTTTTGTCCTTGGGCAAGGCACTTCAGCCACTTTGCCTTGTGTGAATGTTGTGTGTGTGTGAATGGCAGGTGGTGGTAGGAGGGGCCTCTTTGACAGCCTCACTTGCAGCAGATTGCCCCAGGGCAGCTGTGGTTAGTAGCTCACCACCACCGCGTATGGAATTAATGATTAGTGTGGCGAAATGCATGAAATAGGAGGTAGAAGTAGCACTTTGGTGTTATGACAAGCACTTTATAAATGCAACAGAATCACTGACAATGGCTACAAAATTTGTTTTCTTGCCATTGAAAGGATCTGGCTCCAAAAAAACGAAATAAAAATAAATAAAGACATCCAACGTGTGGTTTGTGGTATATTTGAAAGTCAACCAACACAAACTGTGTGTCTCTGGATAAAGAACCGATTGTGATTCAGTTTATTTGTGATTTAAAGTTGTGTTTAAATCAGACTTTGTATGTGCAAGCGGGAGCAAATTTAATATTGTCAAAAACAGCACACATTTTGCCGCTCCGCTGCTCAAACAACGTTTCACTGATCAAAAATCCCTTTGGTCATTTTGAAGGTACATGTGTTGAGATGATGTGGAGCGATTTTGAGGCAAATCGGTGAAACGGCCGAGGAGGACAAGATTTCCAACCGACATGTATGAAAATTATTGCTGTTCATTTTTGGCTGTTGTAGGTGGCGCTGTTCTGGCATTTTTTGAGTCCCATAAAAATAAACACCAAAATATCAAATTTTTCGCCAGGTCTGATTTATGGGCAAAATTTTACAACTTTTCATGCATGTTCAGGGGGTCAAATTAAGGCTCTAAGTGCAGAATTTGACATCTCTCGAGTAAAAACAATAAGGATTTTTTTTTTTCAACGTATCGAGCAAAAACAATATAGGTTTCAATGGCACGTGATACATCATTTTAAAGTGTTTGAGTTTACGCACACAACCGTCACATTGTGGACGCGTCCGTCACGCACCACCACCATTTGCATTCACCATTGTGAAAGCACCCGTTCGGGGCTCAGGCCTAATAATGCATTGGTAGTCTGTGCAATCGGCCCTTACACAGCAATCCCAAAGGTCTCCCATCACAGTACTAACCAGTCCCTTCCCTCCACAGCTTCAGAGGTCTCACGGGATCTGGATGATTTCTCTCGTATCCCTAACCTTATATCAAAT